CCATACTTCTTTTATTCAAAGTTTGGGTATCTCTGAGTAGCATCTTGAAGCAGGAAACCCTAACTCAAGGCCTTATTCCTTCCTTCCCAAAATGGCATCTTCAGTTAATAGGTATTCATTTTCCTGATTAACATTTTAATCGTTTTTTATTAGGATTTTCTCAAAACTTTGTTTTATTTTTAATTGTCTAAGATAAATACATACATATATGTGTGTATGTATATATACACGTATATATTTAAAATAGTATAAAATATGGAACTGTATCGCAGAAAGAAACCATAACATTTTCTGTTTATGCTTTTTATGTTGAATCTACCCTAATGATTTGTTATTATTTTTTAATATTTTCAGATATCATTACTTATTTTGGTATTTAACAGCTCAAAATACCACAAGGTAAATGGAATAGACATTTGCTCTCCTGTTTCACTTATGTTGAATACTGTTTATAGAAAAGGCAGTATGCCCTGTGCTATTCCTTCTCTTCTTAGGAAATAAGGTACTTAATCATAGGATGCCAATGACTGGGTTTTTCTAAATTGCAGAAGAATGAAATTAGTAAATAAAAAGTTAAAAAAACCTAGATTTTAAGATGGGGAAGAGGAATTCTAGACTTCCTTTAAAAACTTCCCCCAAAATGATGGCAAATCGAATGTACCTAAACAACCCAAATAAAAAGAAATTGTGCCAAAGTCAATCTGTTATTTTAGCAAACTTAATAAGTAAATTGGAGCTCTGCACAGTTAACATAATCAATGTTATGCAATCAATAATGACAACAGCCAAAAACACTGACTAAACCTTACCATGGTCGATTTAGTCCCATCATCTTGACACAATCACATTGGTTTTCTAGAACAGTTTTCTTCCTGATGGATGCCCTGAGAACATAAAATAATCCATTTAGGCTCTGTGGTAACAATTTACCCCACTCTGAATCAGAATTTAAAATGTTTATGCATCTTTCACTAATTCATTGTGAGGAGGACATACTTGGTGAAGCATAATAAACCAGGGTTAATCAATATAATCAACTTAATAACACAATGTCCTTCTGATATACATGTTGAACATATTTTAAACACCATTAGTATTTAATTGACACAAAATAATTTTGCCAAACCTACACAATTCTTTCTCTCAGAAATGCACATTATTTGAATGTGTGATGTAGCCTTTTAAAATCAAGAAATTTGATTAACAAGAATAAATAAAACTATTCCATTAGAAATTCCGAGCATGTCCTTAAATCTGCAAAAATTTAGAAATGACAATGTCAGCTTAAAAGAGGCTTTATATTTATATTATGGAGATTTTGAACCTGGAGCAGACATAAAATTGTTGTTCCTAGGAGCTTGTCTAAGAACAAACAGATATGTATCATGAAGCAGGAAAATTATGGTCCTTCAAAATTAATAAAATTTTATAAATGTAATATCAAAAAATACCTAAAGCAGTTATTTTAATATTTTATCCAAATATTTGGAATATTCAAAAATGTTCAAAAACTATGATTATATAGTATGGAAACATATCATTTAAAATAAAAAATATTGAAATATATGTAACTTTTAATTGATTTTTATTACTTGAAACTTTAGTAGTTTGCCATTTATAATTTTGAAATATAATTTTGAAAGAATTAGTGTGGTGGTCATTTTGTGGGTCCTAAATTCCTCTATAGGAAAGAAAATCGAACTCTCACAGCTGCTGCAAAGGCTGCTGCATAAAGTTCTTAGTTATCAGCTCACTGTAGGGACCACAGCGCTACCTAAATCAAGGTCAAGCTTCAGTTTTGGGGCAATCCATGTCTGAGACCACTAGAGCTTCAAGTTCACATGTTGTTTTATATTATGGCTAATCTATCTATCTTATACAAGCTTCAAAGGAAACAGTTGAATGTTGTTAGTTCACATGTATCTTCATATACTGCAAATACTTATTTAAAAACTTGAAAATAGTAAATATTTACTCACCTTTTGTCTACGAAAGGCAACTAAATACATTTGCTACAATTTTGGCTAATTTCTCATAATTCGTAATTAGGTAAAAATTAGGAAAACGTAAAAACTGTATCTGTATACAGGATATTCTGGGACAGGAGAGGAAATCTGAAAAAAAAAGATTATATTTAGCTAACAGTTCTATTTACTTATTTTTGTCATTCAATTTATTTTCATCATAACTAATGTTTTACTCTATGTAATTTATTTCCTTCACTTGATTTTTAAGCCCTTTTTATCAAAAAGTAGAGTGTTACTTGTCTACTTGTAGTAATGTCCACATCAAAAGTTACTTTGCAGTAGACCAAAATGACAGTTTCTTGTAGCATTATAACTTTCCAAAGGTGTCTTCAATGAGAATGGCATTTCTGATGAGCTAAGCAGATGATCAAACTACAAGAAATAGCACCATATCTCATTTACTGAGGAGCAGGGATTTGTTTATCATATTAACATCACTTATGTAGCAAAAGTACAGTTCTGAAAATCAGAGACATAAACATTTTGATAAGGGAGATGCTCTGAGGAACTTTACAGCTCTCTGAGGCCAGGTGGATTTGCAGGTAGTAGGAAGAGCTTTAAGTGGGAAGAATAAAGAAGCCTCAAAGAAGACAAATAAGAGATGGGATATGAGCAGATTATTCTGGCTTGACCAAAATAAATAATTAAGCCAGGACACTAAAACAGTGCAAAAGTCTCAGTCTTGAATTTCTTGAGTACACTCAATTGCGCAGGCATGCCATAGCAGCAAGACTCCAAAAGTCTAGATTTAAAACAAATAAAAACAAAATCAGGCCCAGACAGTTGTTGACAACCACAGTATGCTTTACAAGCCTAAAAGCTGATTAGTAGTTTTCTAGTTAACCATGGGAATTTTCTGTTCAATTAAATTAGTATATGAAAAGCCAAGAGACGTGAAATAGTATGACATAGTCTCTGTGCTTGGAGAGCAGATCATTATAAGTGATTCTGCTATAAAGCCACATGCACACATATGTTTATTGCAGCACTATTCACAATAGCAAAGAGCTGGAACCAACCCAAATGCCTGTCAACCACAGACTGGATAAAGAAAATGTGGCACATATACACTATAAAATACTATGAGGGAATTAAAAAAGGATGAGTTCATGTCGTTTGCAGGGACATGGATGAAGCTGAAAACGGTCATCCTCAGCAAACTAACACAGGAACGGAAAATCAAACATAGCATGTTCTCATTCATAAATGGGAGTTGAACAATGAGAACACATGGATACAGCGAGGGAAACATCACACACTGGGGCCTGTCAGTGAGAGGGAGGAGAAGAAAGGGAGGTCATTAGGACAAACACCTAACTCATGCAGGGCTTAAAACCTAGATGACGGGTTGATAGGTGCAGCACACCACCATGGCACCTACGTAACAAACCTGCATGTTCCGCACATGTATCCCAGAACTTAAAGTAAAAATTTAAAAACATGAGTATGTAGGAGCTAAGAGGTAGAATAGATGTGACTTGTTTATACTAAACTATTTGGTATGCAGGAATCAACCTATATACCAGTAGATAAGTGGAGAAGATTCTTGGGTTCAAAAATTGTCTCCAGGACTTACTAGCTTTGTTACCTTGGCTAAGCTATTTGATTCTCTGTACTTCACTGTTCTTATCTATAAAATTATATAATAATAATTTAGTAACTCTCTTAGAGGGTATTGTGAGCATTAAACAAGTTAAAATATGTAAATCACGTACAGCAGTACATAATTTTAAAAAGTAGTAACAATAGCTATTTATACAAAAAATACTGATGATGCTCTTCATATAGAACAGAGATGGTAGAAAACTGCCAGAAATCAAAATAGAGAATGTGAGCATCTAATTAAAGTGAATCTGGTTTTGATTTACTTTATCATTCACTCTAACTATACCCAATATGGAAGTTTGAAAACTTGATGTGTTTGGTTTTCCTTACTCTTTACTCCATCTATACCCAGACTTGAAATAAACTCACTTCCCCGTGCCCTTGTCTGTATGCCTGTCATTACCACTCTTTTTGTTTACTCAGGCTCAAAAATTTACCATGGCTTTGATTCATCTTTCTCCTTACTTCCTTTTGTCAAGATAGTTACTAAGATTTATTATTCCTGCAAACAAACAAACAATCAGAACACCCTCATCAATCACTCTTTTACATTCACACTTCCAAATCTCAATCCAGGTTGTTATTATAACATGTCTGGATTAATGGGATACCTTCCAAACTGGTTTGCCTGTGAATCTATCACACCTAGTCATTATCAGATTTTACATACACATAAATTGAGTTTATCACACCTCTACCTACACTTTTCAGTATAATCTGCTTCTACTACTTCTTCCCCTATACTTATGTTCTATTTTGTGTATCAATTCTGCCTCCTACTCTTTTGTTAACCCTGCTCTTTCAGTGGGTTTGTTGTTCTTGCAGTCACACTGTGCCCATCTACTTCTGGGCTCATATTTGTTTGTACAAAAAAAATTGTACAACCAAGTAATATACATTATATGAAGCATACAGTCTTGGGTACAATACATTTTGCCTGGGAAACTGGGAAAGATGCCTCAGAGAAAGTAGGTGGTGAAAGTCTGAGAATACATGTGAGGTATTTGGACTTTATTGTATAGAAAATAATGAACTCATAAAAGTTTTAATCATGTAAGTGCCGTAATCAGATTGCATTAAAAAACAACTTTAGCTGCTCTGTGGAGAATGGTTTGAGGAGAAATGAAATCAGACCCAAGAGGACCAGATGAGAGTCAGTTTCCCCTCTTGGGACAATGAGGGTAAGATGGACAGAAATATATGCAGTTCAGAAGTTGAGTTTTGCACATATAATGCAGGAAATCATCCTTGTGACATGTGAGTTTTTGTAGCACTGTGTGAATAAGACAATTATGCAACTCTGCTATGTTCTAGTGAAGATACTGTTCGCCATGTGGCTCAGAAAATAAGCTGAAACAGTACCTTTCTTCAGGATCAGTTGGTTCTTGTAACAATTGGAGTTCCTGTATATCCTGGTACCAAGTCTGATACCCATGTATTGGGCAGAAGATGGTTCTGAAAATAGGGAAAAATATACTTTTATGTCAATGCCTCTCAGTAGTTCTTAATTTAGGAGAAATAGTCAACTTAAGTTTAGAGAGAAGAGGAGTTATTACAATCACTCTGTTGTGATCTTGACTCCCGCCTGAATGTTGAGACCTAACTCAGTAAAGATAGAATACAATGGATTAAAGAACATGGCCTCGTAAATCCTTTTACAAAAGGGAGGAGAATATTTGTAGAAACTGAAGGGGACTTACTGATATAGTAAGACTGCAGGAGATTGGCAAGATTGTGAAAACTGATCATCTCTATATAAAGTACTTAATAATATTTCTTTTTAATGGAGCATTCATTGTTCCATTTAGCCAAATCTTCTACATTTCTATCATAAAGTGACTTTTTCTTTTTGATTTTGGCCTTTTATTTACTTGCAGTATACTCAATAGTTTGGCTTTTGCCTGTTATTTATAACCTTGCCTTCCTTTTCTAGCTGTGAGCAGATTTTCCCTTTTTATGGGCTTTGGAAAGTCCCTCTAGATGATTTCTTATATTTAATTATTTTGATTTGCAGCTCTGCTATTTGGTTTTTATATTCCTTCTTGTTTAGAGTCATGTCTGCTGTAGTTTGCTGCTTTATTAGCTGTTTATTATTAAGTAGTAAAGGCTTCTGAATCAGAAATAAAAATTATAAATGAAAAGGAAGAAATGTGTCTCCTCCTTTTTTTCCTCAGTGCTCCAGGTATTCCTCTAGGCATGGATGAATTAGCATGGCAAAATATTTTTTAATAGGAATTAAAACTTAAGAATGCTCCAGGTGTCCTATTCTAGTTTATTCATATTTTATGTTCAGACTCCTTTTGGTGGTTTTGAATTTGCTTGCATTACGACAGTAGCAGACAGAAGAAATTCTCTCCATTTCATCATTGTATCTTTAGCCTGTAGAAATTACCTTAAAGCAGAGAAGGCACTGACTGAAAAATTCAATTTGACTCATAGCACTCTCTCATTTTACTCTTTCTCTGCTGTCTGCTATCTGAACTAATTTATTTGCTTCTCTCTCCATTGCTTCCTCATGTCCATCATCACTTTATCCACCTGATGATTCCAATTCCATTTGTAAGCCTTATTCCTGCTGTAGATCTCCAAAGTAACTCCTTGGATAAAGTTAATTGTTCTTCCCCACAAACTCAGCATCTTGCATCTTCTTCCAACTAATATTTAAGAAGGTTAATTATGTAATTCCTTGTCTTTGTCATGATTAAAATCCAGAATCTTTTGGTAGGGTGGCAACATAATTTATCACCCAAATTACGATACTCTTGTTCAAGACAAATGCTAAATAGGAAAAAAACACAGAACCAGCATGACTTCAGATGGTTCCATATATAAGCCAAGGACCGTATTTTCATCTGTGTTAAAATTGCCTAGCATAGTTTTGGGCACACAACAAGTTCTTAAAAATGACTGTGAATCAAAAATGTCTACAAATGTATGTAAGTATTTAATAATACACAGCAGAAATCCTTAAGATTTGTTTATGAATACATGGACTTCAGGAATTGGTCCTATTTACTAATAACATTTATGAACTTTGGAAAATTTACCTTTCATATTTTCCATTTTCTCATTCCTGATCTAGCAATTACACACCCTTTGATGTAACTAATAAATTGATGTATTACTGAAAAAAGATATAGGCTATATCCATAGTAAAATAAGTAATATAAAAATGTTAGTAGTCCTCAAATATCTAAGTTAACATTTTTCTGGGAATTGCTTGTTTTTTCTTAGCTATAGTGTTCTCATAAAATAAGAATGCCATACATTCCAGGCCTGAAGTTCTAGGATTAAAATCTCTTGGCATTAAAAGAATTAATATATGTAAAGTATTTAGAACAAGGAATAGCATGTGTTAAGTGTATGCTTAATGATTAAGTATTAAATTTATCCTATTGTTTTGTATGATGACACTAACAGACAGAAGAATAAACTTACTTTTACAAGAAACCTGCATTATAGAGTCACCTTTATAATATAGCTTCTAAGAGGTTAGGGGTATAAGCTCTGCTTATGAGTCATGTCATTGAAACAGTACAATTGTCTCAGCAACATATTTTAGCACTCTCTGTGTCTCCGTTTACTCATCTGTAAAGAGAGAATAGTGTACTTATTTTATAAGGTAGTTTATGAATATTAAAATAGCCATTAAAATTGAGACTGTAAAAAGTATCTAGACCAGTACCAGCACAAAGAAATGTAAATAAATATTTTCTGTTAGCTATTATTTGCATAAAGTGTAAATAAAATTTCAGATATGTTCATAGTATTCTCTGGGATCAGTCATAATATTTCTGAAAATTTGAAAATGTCTATTAGAATTGAAACTTGCCTGATAAGGAGATAATTGAAAAATCAAATTTCTATCAAGTAAACATATTTTTTGAGAAAGTTTAAAGATTTTTTTTTTTCTAGGATAAGATTCTGTCAGAAATACTCCATAAGGAGTTGTGGTTTGTTACTTTTCATTTTAGGGTAACAAAGCTTTATGTGCAAACATAATATTCTTTAAATGTATTAGGTTTAACATTTAAATTGCTCTGTAAGCTTGTGGATACAGTTGTCTCCAAGCAAGGACATGGACCGCATTAAAAGTGCCTTCATATTTGATGATATTCTGGTTATTATTATTATCCACGCCATCCTTTTTCTCCAAACATTAGTTAATGTTGGTTATTTTAACCTAATAAATAATTAGTTCAATGGTAGGAAAATCATCGGGTTTCTGTAGATTTTTTTTTTTTTTTTTTTGAGATGGAGTTTCGCTCTCGTTACCCAGGCTGGAGTGCAATGGCGCGATCTCGGCTCACCGCAACCTCCGCCTCCTGGGTTCAGGCAATTCTCCTGCCTCAGCCTCCTGAGTAGCTGGGATTACAGGCACGCGCCACCATGCCCAGCTAATTTTTTGTATTTTTAGTAGAGACGGGGTTTCACCGTGTTGACCAGGATGGTCTCGATCTCTTGACCTCGTGATCCACCCGCCTCGGCCTCCCAAAGTGCTGGGATTACAGGCGTGAGCCACTGCGCCCGGCCGGGTTTCTGTAGATTTTATACAATATTTAAAACTAAAATCTTCTGCTGATTTTAGTGTTTGTCGGGTTGAAATATTTACGTTTTCCTCTTTTTTAATAGTACTACCACATAATATGTGTAACTAAAACAAAATATGTAGTTTTATATGTAATAAAAACTGGTGCTTCATATAGAAGTTTTAAAATACCTTTTTAATCTTCCGAGCTCTGTCCATTTGTCTGTGGCTAATGCTAACCGCAGTTCCCAACATTTTAGTCATTAATACACTGAAAAAAATTTAAGAAGTACTGTTGCTTTTTCAGTATTTATAAATCTTTCATCTGTCTAGTTACTTCATTTCTTGTAATACTGCACATTTTATGGCACTATGTTGAATTTTAAAAAGGCCTTCTATTAATATTCCTTGTAATCTTCTGACTTGAAGCATTCACATCTTGATTTGAATGCTGGAAAGATACACATACCACACACCAGAGGTTTCTGTCATCATTAATCACAAAGAAATTAAAAGCATGAATATTTGGACTCTGAGTTATAAGAATTTGCTCTTATTGATGATAAAAATTGCTTTCAGTGTGTATTGTAAAATATTGATTTGTATGAAAAAATTAAACAGATATTACCTTCTGTCTCTTAACTACCATGACATATTTTATAACCATTTAGTCACTAAAAGAAAATATTTTACTTGAGGAAAACTGTTAAAACATGGTATTGTGCTTGGTATGTGGTAGGTGCTCAGTATTTATTAACTGTTGATGGTTCATTTTCAGTTTTAGGGTATCCTATTGTTACTTGAGGCAGTAGTCCTATATGGCCCAGGTTGCCTACACTGCAATTCAGTCTGGACCCTAGATTTCTACTTTCGCGAAAAGGAAGGATACCTGTTGTTCACTTCTTAATTCACAATTTCAGTTCATGCTGTAGAGTAACAGAGTTTTTTAAATGAATAAACATTCTAATCATTAATAAAATTCTCTGAGAACTAAATTAGTTCTGACATTAATTGCTTTGCTGGAAGACTGCCTTTTCAGACTATGCCAAAGTGTGCTTCAGTCACTAGCATTATGTTATTCATTTATGAGGCCTTTTCATGAAGTATGTGTCCTTGAAAGATTAATCATGAATTCAGAAAGGAGTCAACCTTTGTAAAGAGCTCCACAATAGGTAACCAGAAGTATATAAAAATATGTAATGTTAGAGGCCAATTCCTGAACATTCTAATGAGGAAACAAGTGGTTCATGTTACGCTTTATGATGAAGTAAGTTTCTTTAAAAAATACGAGAATTTTAATGTATTTAACGACAGTCTTTTAGTCTAAGATGATAGTAGAAACATTACATTAACAAGTATCTAAAATAAAAATAAGAAATTAGTAGATTTTATATTAAAACTTAAGGTTTCAATATAAAATCTATAGTAGATTTTTATATTTCCAATGTTGGCATACTTTTTTCTATTTTGAATAAATAGTAAATGGATTTATTTAGATTTTGAAAATATGCATATTGATATGTATAGTCAACACGTCACAAATACACAAGTGTATACAAAAAAAAAATCTTAATTACCTGACCACTAGAGACTAGGGTTTAATAAATTTGAATTTGAAAGCCTCTTAACCACAGTTAAAATTCACTTAGCAAAAAAATATTTTGAAGTTAGATTTTATATTTCTATGGTCTATATACAATGATATATTATACATTTTAGTAAAACCTGTGAACATATTTTCGTACATTGCTAGTTCTCTAATCTATAATCTCTAATAGATCTGTCTATTAGAGAGCAGTATGTGAGTACTGAAAACTTTAGTTTTAGAAGAACAGAAAGCGGGGTTCTTCATAGTTCTTTTGTTTTTCTGTAAGACAGCATTTTTTCATCATTCTTCTTCAACTAAAGCATTCAAAGCGTTACCATA